GGGTGCATCATGGGATGGGGCTTCTCCGTGGGGATGAGCACTATGGTTGGGAGAGTCATGGGATGGAGTTTCTCTGTGGGAATGACCACCAAGTTTGGGTAGGTTGCAAGATGGAGCTCCTCCATGGGGACACCCACCACAGTTGGGTGCATCCTTAGATGGAGCTCCTCCAAGGCAATGGCCACCACAGTTGGGTGGGTCACAAGCTGAAGCTTCTCCAAGCCTGATGCTCTCCTGTCTCCGTTGCAGGGGTTATGGTAGCGTGCGGCGGCGGCCCACGGGGCTCAGCAAGGAGGTGAGGTTTTCCCTGGTGTCCCCGTTCCTCACCCCGCTGCTGGCAGTGCCGGCAGCCGCCCTGTCCCCCCGTGACGTGTCCTGGTGTCTGCAGGACCTGGCCGAGGTGTGCAGGCGGCAGAGCACCGAGCGGGACCCGGCGGACGTGGACCGCCCGGTGGGGCTGGGCAGCTCCAGGTGGGTGCACCGGGAGGCACCACGGCCGCACGGATCATGGGGCAGAGCTCCTGTGTGGGGACACCCACCGCGGCTGTGTGGGTCACGAGATGGAGCTCCTGGGTGGGCAGGTCGTGACATGGAGCTCCTCCATGGGGATGGCCACCGTGGATCACGCGATGGAGCTCCTCCATGGGGATGGCCACTGTGGGTCACGCGATGGAGCTCCTCCATGGGGATGGCCACCGTGGGTCACGCGATGGGGCTCCTCCATGGGGATGGCCACCGTGGGTGGGCAGGTCGTGACGTGGAGCTCCTGTGTGGAGACACCCCCGCACACGTCACCCCCGCTGCGGTTCGGGGCCGTCCTGACTTCGCCGTCTCCTCCAGCGGCTCTGCCGGGCGGATGCCCCTCTCCAAGGAGGACAAGGAGGCGGCCAAGATGGGACTCTCCATCTTCATGGTAGGTCCCGGTGCCTCAGGGGAGTTTCCCCCCAGGAGGTGCCCGCGCTTCCCGCCCGCGTTTTCCCAGATTTTGGGGCGACTCTTCCCCTCTCCGTGTTCCTTTCCCTCCTCCCACCCTGCAGCACCAGAAGGCTCCGGGCAGCCCCGAGGCGGCCGGCACCGTGAGGAAGCAGCACAAGGAGGAGAGGGCCGAGGAGCAAGGGTGAGGTGGGGACCCCGGGCCGGCGCTCCGAGGGGAAAAATGGGAAGGGAAAAGGAAAACAAAAAACAGAGGGTGGTTTCACGGTGGGGACATTCCGACCATCAGCAGCCAGGTCCTCACGTGGCGGGGAGTGGGGACGTGTCAGTGACCCCATCCCCTTCCAGCAGCTCAGAGAGCACCAAGAAACCCAAAAAGGAGAAGAAAAAGAAGAAGAAGAAGAAAAAGAAGCACAAGAAGGAGAAGAAGAAGGAGAAGCGGCGCGGGAGGGACGCCTCCTCCTCGTCCTGCTCATCCTCCTCCTCCTCCTCCTCTTCCCCCTCTCCAGAGCGGGACACAAGGTAGCCGGGATGAAGGAGCGGGATGAGACGGGACGTCCCGGTT